ATATATATATATGTGTGTGCGTGTGTGTGTGCATACGTGTGTCTACGACAGTGCTCCCAAAAATGATTAAAAATTATAAGACGGATAAAGGCGCGTAAATGACCTCACGGAGAAACTAAGCGTAACGGTGCTACCCATCATCACTGTGTGGGATGCGCTTAAATACTATTCGCACCAAGAGTCCAAAATCGATAATCTAAATGAATTTGGTGGCAAATTTTTTGAAACAGCCAAGAAACAAAATGTTGGTTCATCTACTCCGGACAATGTCGATATTCTCTTGTCTTCATGTGCCTGGGTTAGCTTCGCTATCTATGTTATCCATGAGAAATGCTACTTTGCAAACTGCAGTTTCTTTGACGAGGTGGTTATAATATTATTTAACGAAATAAAACCAAGTTGGACTCAAAAAAAGTTATTTTTCCTTTTACAACCTTGAGATCGGCGCCATTTTCTTCCAGCATTTTCATTTCCTCGCCCTCTGTTGCTATAAGACCGCGAGATGTTCGTCGGTAGCGGTGCGGTATGAAACGCTTCTGAAAAGCAGCACTATCAAAATTCTTTCAAAAGAATCATCGCCTTACGGCTGTGGACAAGTAATAACGAAGAATGTGCAAAATGAGAAACTATTTAGTTTTTTCATTTCCTCACAGAGATTATTGGGGATTGCATCTTATTGCTATTTACCAAATAATTTGATGGACAGAAGATGCACACAAAAAAGTTTACTTATTCTTTTGCACTGAAAGGGTCAAAATTATTAAGATTTGACTGTACGTGCATTAAAATCAGTCATACCATACTAAAAACACGCCAAATGTTTGAGATGGATCCAAAAACATGTTGTACTGAGTAAAAATGAAGAGAATGACATCTGATATTCAGCACTGTTTCGCGCAGGTTGCACCAAAACAGCCAGTTTCTTGGGAAAGCTAGATACACTATCGCTATAAAATGTATGTGTCCGTGACCCGGCTATAAGATGCTTGCTCAAGAAAGCAGGGCGCATTCAACTGGAGGGAATAATTGTGCTGACTAACAAGTTTAGTTGATGAATCCGGAAATTTTAATAAAAGAGCAGAGCTCAATTGCCAAGAGCAAAAACCTGGGTTCGAAATCATTAAATTTGATGGTTCTGAACGAACTGAAGCAAAAATAAGGGCAGAATTTTGTCTAAGAAATGATAAAAATTAAAATGTGATCTCGTTTTCCGAAAGCTGAGTATGTCAGTGATAAGTGCATTGAACTACAACTACAGTTATGCCCTTGATATCTGCACTTAGTGAAAAATTATGTCCCTAATTCATACCTTTTCACCACGCACAAAATGTAGAGATACTAACTTGTACAATTTTAATATCAGCAATATAAGCAGTGAATACAGTGATTGGGAAAAACAGGAATGTCAAGAATCCTTCCCATATTTCGATAACACCCGGCGAGAACACTGATAGTATCAAGTACATCCAGATATATGCAAAAAGAGACCTGAAAAGAACAATATTTTCTTTAATTGCCTTTCCATGCGTTTTTGCTGTGCAGCGCTGTTACAGCCAGCAAAAACGCATATTGTTGAGAGGCTGTCTGTGTGTGTGTTTGTGTGTGTTCGAAAAGCGAGTGCATTTTGTCACCCACTTTCATCTCTGCAACCAGGAAAGTTGGGAGACTGAAATTTTGGATATATGTTCCTACCGCGTTTGTCATCCTCCCGTTCTAAGATCTTTCCCCATACGCGCTTAGACCACGCGTACGGAATCCTCAAAGAAATATGTTGGCGAGGAATGATTTCGCGAACCAGGCAACATAGAAAGCTGAAACTTTGCAGGGATGTTCTGTACGCATGTGTGAAATAAAAATTTAAACTCAGCTCTCTAGCTCCCCAACCACAATCTCAAGCAGCTCCTCAACCCAAAAATCGTTAGTAACTCGGACCTGAATCGCAATTGTATGTGCAAATGAACATGGATTTTTTGAAAAACAACCGTTCGAGCAATACTTTCAATTTTTAATGAAGTGAAAATTTGCATATATTCAAAAAAATCGTTCGCAGCTCGGACTTTAACCGCAATCGCATATGTAAATGAACGCGGATTTTTTGACAAACGATCGCTCGAACAATACTTCCAGTTTTTAGTGAACTGGAAATTTGCATTTTTTCAAAAAAGTTGCATTTGTCATTTTTTCACAAGGCGAGCATTTACCGAAAAAACGACCAGACTTCATGCAAAAAGCCGGTAATCATGCACCTGGATGTCCATACGGTTCTATAATGCACCACCTTCATCCCAACTGACACCCTTCCTCCTGCATGCCGGAAGGGGCCAAAGCACG